AACTCCTGAACTTCTTTGTGGAGGAAGTCTATTGTGCATCCTTCACTCTTTGAAAATCTTCAGCACAGGAAAACTGGCATTTCACATGGCTTTTCCAAATATGCAACGTGAAGCAACTTTCCTAAGCACATTCTTCAGAGCCTCTGACTCTTAACTCCCTACACTGAGCATGTGACTTTGTAAGCTGGGTTTATGAAGAGCCGCATGTATTATTATTATTATTTTTTTGAAATGGAGTTTCACTCTTGTTACCCAGGCTGGAGTGCAATGGCACGATCTCGGCTCACCACAATTTCCGCCTCCTGCCTCAGCCTCCCGAGTAGCTGGGATTACAGACACGCGCCACCATGCCCCGCTGATTTTTTGTATTTATAGTAGAGACGGGGTTTTGTCATGTTGGCCTGGCTGGTCATGAACCCTTGACCTTAGATAATCCACCCACCTTGGCCTCCTAAAGTGCAGGGATTACAAGCATGAGCCACCACACTCAGCCTCCGTCTGGATTCTTCAGAGGGATTGAAGGTTGTTCACATGTGATTGAGGTAACCGCAGTGACCTAGGCGTCTTGGTTCTGGGGCTTCGGTCTCCTGCCCTGTTAGTTTTCTCTTCCTCTCACTTTAGTTCAGACCTTTAGGTTGACAAGCCTGAGATTCTATGGAGAGTCTCTTGTCTCTAGCCAGTGCCTGTCATCCCCAGTATCTTTATGTCCTGATAGTTGAATCACATTAATCAACACTGTCCACCCAGCTGCATTCTATATTCTCACATCACAGGTTTTTCTGCCACAAATTGAAACTTCATTTTTGGGGCGGAGGGGGAGGAAATCCCTTATATTTATTTCAGATCTCTATTTTCTTGCCTAGAACTTCATTTTTTCTAGGTCTCTTCTGGGGTTAGCAGTAGTGTTTCATCCCCACAAAAACCAGCCAAGTGTGTCTTAGTCTGGGCCAGCCGTTCATCACATCCTGAAGACCTGTTCTGGGGGCCGTGTGCCTCTTTGTAGACCTGTCGGATCCTGTGGTTGCTTCCTTACTTCCCAGCATCAGGAAATCGCCCTTTACCATTGTGGGTTTCCCTGGTCGCGCTGCTCTGCCGGCAGCTCCTATTTGCAGAAGTGGGACATTCCATCCTAGTCAGTCCAATATGAGGAAAGCTCCTCTTCTCTTTCTCTGTTGGTTCAGAGTTTATTCTTTTTATCCAAAGCAACTGCTGGTAGACAACTTACTGATACCAGGTTCGATTCCCACCCATCTCCTAAAACAATGGTGATTTTTTTGTTTTGTTTTGTTTGTGGAATGCAGTAGTGCAATCTCGGCTCATTGTAACCTCTATCTCCTGGGTTCAAGTGATTCTCTTGCCTCAGCCTCCGGAATAGCTGGGACTACAGGTGCCCACCACCATGCCCAGCTAATTTTTGTATTTTTAGTAGAGACGGGGTTTCACCATGTTGTCCAGGATGGTCTCGATACCTTGACCTCCTGATTCACTCTCCTCGGCCTCCCAAAGTGCTGGGATTACAGACATGAGTCACCAGGCCTGGCCAATGGCGATTTTTTTTTTTTTAATTACTTTTATCTTCTTTTTAATCTGTTTGTGACAGTATTTTTCAAGTCCCATTTTCTTTCAAGTATTTAAAGCTGGTCTATGCCTCAGGCAGAAAAATAGGTACAGCAAACACCCTATATTCCTTACCTCATCTGTACTTCCTATTGGGGTTAGGACTCATGTAGAATTTCCCGTCATTTGCTAGACACTTATTTCCTGAAACTCCTGCTGAGGCACGTGTGGTGGCGCTCATTATCCAGAGACCAGTTTCTTCAGGTAGAAGCAGTTAGCATTTCTAGTGGGTCCAAGTGTGTGAGCCTTTCTCACGGGAAAGCCTTTGTACACCAGAGGACACAGAAGTTAGTCTTCGTTCCAGATGTTTCCGTGTTTTTATGCTGTGATGGGATTGGGTGGCAGTGAAGAATCCATGCCAGTTCTAACCAAAGAAACATGAGTCGAGACTGAGAAGTAGTGCCTGTAGTCTCAGCTACCTGGGAGGCTGAGGCAGGAGAATCGTTTGAACCCGGGAGGCGGAGGTCTCCAAGCTGAGATCATGCCACTGTACTCCAACCTGGCGACAGAGCGAGACTGTCTCAAAAAAAAAAAAAAAAGGCTGAGGAGTACGTTACTTTCTTTAAGATAAAGATTAGTGAAGAGAATACTGAGAAAGTGTAGGTTGAAGTCATTTGGGGAGGCTTTGAATGTTAAGCTTAGGATACAGACTCAATTCGATGAATTGCGAGGCTTCTACACAAAAGTAATGTTGTCAGGATTGAATTTAAGCATATTTAATCAGGCAGAGGTTTAGTCTGTATTTGATATGGGCAACCAGTTTGAACGTCCCGGTGAGAAGTTTAGGTCATCAAAACCCGCCTGTTTTAGGCCAGGCGCAGTGGCTCACGCCTGTAATCCCAACACTTTGGGGCGCCAAGGCAGGTGGATCACTTGAGGTCAGGAGTTTGAGTCCAGCATGACCTACATGGTGAAACCCCATCTCTACTAAATGTACAAAATTAGCCGGGTGGGGTGGCAGGTGCCTGTAATTGCAGCTACTTGGGAGGCTGAGGCAGGAAAATGGCTGGGCGACAGAGCCAGACTCTGTCTGGCTTGAACCGGGGAGAGGTAGAGGTTGCGGTGAGCCAAGATCGTGCCATTGCACTCCAGCCTATGTGACGAGGGAAAGTTTGTCTAAAAACAACCACCAAAAAAAACCTGCCTGTCTGAGTCCATTCCTGCTATTACAGAAATAGCTCTGTGACAGGTCTGGTGGTTGGGACGTTAAACCACAGCACCAGGGGATTTGGTGTCTGGTGAGGGCCTGTTTTATCACTGGCATCTTCCCATGGTGCCATCGTGGGAAGAGATGGAATGCCCAGGCAGCTCTCTGGAGCCTCTTTCATGAGGATTTTAATTCCATCCAGGAGTATGGAGACCTTGTGACTTAGGCAGCTCCCAGAAGCCCCACCTCTTAGTTCCACCACAGTGAATTCTGGAAGACACAAAGCCTGGCAGTGTCCAGATTAGAGCAATGGCAGTGGAGAAAGAAAGACATGAGTTTAAAAATAAACTCAATGGAGTTTTTATCCATCACCGCGTGCTCTTCAACACTGTTTAGACCCAAAGAAGTGGTTCTCTTTACCTGCTGGCTTAAACCCATGGGTCGCTTAACCTTCCCCCAGAGAGCAACACCTGTATTTGCTGTGTTAATGAATACAGTTTGAGCATCCTTAAAACAGAAATTCAAAATGCTGCAAAAATACAAATCTCTGTCGCCCAGGCCAGAGTGTGGTGGTACGATCTTGGCTCGCTGCCTCCTGGGTTCAAGCGATTCTTGTGCCTCAGTTTCCCAGGGATCTGGGATTACAGGTGCCGGCCACCATGCCTGGGTAATTATTGTATTTTTGGTAGAGACTGGATTTCACCATGTTGGCCAGGCTGGTCTCAAACCCCTGACCTCAGGTGATCCTCCCACCTCAGCCTCCCAGAGTGCTGGGATTACAAGCATGGGCCGCCACACCTGGCCTCAGTTTTTGAGCAGTGACATGATGCCACATGTGGAAAATCCAACCCTGACCTTATGTGACAGGTTGCAGGCCAAAGACAATGAAAACTGTTTCATGGGCAAAATTATTTAACATACTGGATCCAGTTGTCTTCAGGTTATATGTATGAAATATAAATGAATTTCATGCTGAGACGTGGGTCTCATCCCCATGATACCTCATTTTGTATATGAAAATATTTCAAAATCCAAAAAAAAAGTGAAGTCCTAAATGCTTCTTTCCGTCCATTTTGGATGACTCATACTTAACCTCTAGTTACATATTTAATTTTGGCAGAAAATAGTTTTCACAGACTGGGTAATTTTAAAACCATTTCATAGGAAATTTTGGTTTAGCCATAAAATGTTTCAGATACCTTATTCTCATGATATGCTTTATGGTATTTATATTATTCCTTATTGTCCCTTCTAATGACTATAATTCAGGGTTTTTCTTACTGGGGTGTATGTTAAACCCATTTATGCCTGAGTTTGCAGTTTTTTGAATTTTTGTAATCAGACCTCAATGATGACCTTGAGCAGTAGAATAACTCCCACATACCTAGTGTTCCACTAATGGAACACTAAGCTTAAATGGGTAACCTCATTTATTAAGTTGAGATTCTTGGATTGTGGGAATTGGGGTACTTCTTTTTAAAAATATTTACTAAATACTCATCGTGGGCAAATACAGTTTTCGGGAAACAGCCACAAGCCCAAAATAGACAAAGCTCCTGAAGGAGTTTACTTAATGATGGTGGAAGACAGGAGACAAGTGCATATAGTCAGTAGCTGATAAGTTACTCAGAAAAATAAAGCGGAGTAGAGGGACCCACAGAAAGTGAGGGAGAGGGCATTATGGGCAGAACCTAGTTCAGAGGCCCCAGGCACGAGCTCAGATGCAACTCAGACAAATGGGGAGATGGTGTGTGTGAGGAGAGGAGGGGTTCCCGAGTCGGTTTTGAATAGAATCATCAGGATTTGTTAATGGATTAGATGTGAAAAGAGAGAAAAAGGGAAGAGCCAAGGATGCCTCAAGTTTTTGCTGGAGCAAGCATGCTGTTTACTGAGACTGGGGAGTCAGAGGGAATCAGGTTTGAAGAGGGGAGAGCTAGAGCTCAGTTTCCTTCTGGTAAGTGTTCGCTGCCTGTTTGACGTTCAGTGCTGCCCTTCAGGGATAGGCACTGGGATCAGGAGACTCTGGAATGTGGAGAGGTGGGGAGGTGTAATGAAAATCAGCCTAATGGATGGGATTTTTAGCCATGATGCCGAAAAAGCAATCGGAAGGGTCAGTGGGTGTAGAACAGAAAGGGGAGGAAGGGGAGCAGGGAGGAGAAGAGGTTTGGGGGTGTAGAGTTGGGGGGTTAGGGTGAGGAGAACAGCAAAGATGGAAAGGAAACAGCTGTGTGGTGGTGGGTGCGCATGTCCTGAAAGCCAAGAGTACAGATTATTTTACGATAGAATCAGCTGACTTCAACGCTGCTTTCAAAGCCAGTGTGACAAAGGCTAAGAACCATTTGTTAAGTTTGGCTCGGTTCAGGTATGATGATGGGAATGAAAACTTGTTTACGTCGCTAATACTGGCGTTAAGATTTTGTGTAGAGATTTTTGTTCCCATCTCTGAGGTTTGTCATTACAGGGAAGTTTCGCTAGTGAACTGCCTCATCAATTGAGACTGGTAATTACTTAGGCAGGAATTTCTTGTCTTCGGGTAGACTGATGAAAAAAAAAATTTTTTTTTTTTTATATAAAGACAGGGTTTCACCATGTTGGTCAGGCTGATCTTGAACTCCTGATCTCAAGTCATCCGCCCGCCGTGGCCTCCAAAGTGCTTGGATTACAGGTGTGAGCCACCACGCCCGGCCTGAAATTTCTTGACTCGTGTCAAGTTTAAAACGGTATTCATGTAATTAAAAGAAATTTCCTGGTTCTTAAGTTGTCGAAGAAGTGGCCGTAGGCTCCCTGCCGCTTACCCTCTGGCGAGTAGGGGTCGGATAGAGAGTAGCTTTGCTCTGCCGTTCCTCACGACCTTGGTTGGCCCAATTCAGTTAATGTTGGGGGCTACCATTTGTTATGCTTATTACAGTTTTAAGGAGAATTTTTCTCTTCTTCGTTTTTTAGGCAATGTCTCTCTTCTCTGCTCAGCTCAGGCTGCGGTACAGCGGCCTACTCATAGCTCACTGCAGCCATGAACTCCTGGGCCCAAGCAGTCTTCCCTCCCCGGCCTCCTGAATAGCTCGGACTGCAGGCTGCACCACCATACCTAGCTAATTTTTAAAGTGTTTTTGATACAGAGGGGATCTCACATTGTTGCCAGGCTGGTCTTAAACTCCCGGACTCAAGCAGTCCTCCCATGTTGGCCCCCAAAGCACTGGGATTACTTCCATGAGCCATAGTGCCCAACCTAGAACTTCCTTTTGAAGGAAAGTATTGATGGACAGTTTTCTCGAGCAGTTCAACCTCACTTCTGTTAAGTTTTTGAGTGTACTTCTGATATTTTCTGAAAATTTCTCTAAGTCACGATTTCTAATTCTCTTGACAGTTGGGCATTTGACCTATAGGTAGGTGCACATTCGTGATGATTAAAACATCAGTTCTTAAATATTTCTATTTAAACTTTTTGTTGTTGTTTTGGGGGGGAAGACTGAGCCTCACTGTCTCCCAGGATGGGGTACAGTGGCGTGATCTTGGCTCACTGCAATCTCTGCCTCCTGAGTTCAAGTGATTCTCATGCCTCAGCCTCATGTAGTAGCTGGGATTACAGGCATGTGCCACCTAATTTTTTTTTTTTTTTTTTTTAAGAAAGAGTCTTGCTCTGTCACCCAGGCTAGAGTGCAGTGGCACAATCTTGGCTCACTGCAGCCTCCGCCTTCTATGTTCAAGAGATTCTCCTGCCTCAGCTTCCTGAGTAGCTGAGACTTAACAGGTGCATGCCACCACACCCAGCTGATTTTTTATTTTTAGTAGAGATGGGGTTTTACCATGTTGGTCAGGCTGGTTTCAAACTCCTGGCCTCATGATCTGCTCACCTCGGCCTCCCAAAGTGCTGAGATTACAGGCGTGAACCACCACACCCAGCCAAAACCTTGCATTTTTTTTTTTTTTTTTTTTACATTCAGCATTTCTTTGTTTCTCATGCCGTATGTGCTTCTGCATGGCTGTTCTGCGGTGACAAGGCATCCTAGAATCTCAGTACTTAGCAGAGCCCAAAAATGGGGGGAGTGTTCATAACGTTTTTCCAGGTCAGCTATTGACTCTGCTCTTTCTGTCTTCCCTTCGTCGTGGGTTAAAGCAGCAGTTCCTACTTGGGATGATGGGGTCGCAGCTATACTCGTACAGTGTGATAATCTTTTAAGCTTCTGCTCAGAGGTGGCATGTATCACTTCCACTCATATTTCATTGGTCAGAACACTTTCATAAGCAAACCTGTGAACACGTCTGATGTCAGTGATGATGGGCAGCGTAATCCTCTTGGGAGAAGGCAGTCAACAATCGGAACACGTGTGAGCTCTCTCAGCTGGGCGACTGGCTTTGAGGAGCATGTCTGTAGATGCCATGAAATCCTCCAGACCGGCCTTGGGTGAGCATCAACACAGAGAAGGGACCAAGAGCCAGTGCTTACTTCCCGAGCAGATTCCCCAGGCTGGCTGATCATCACATTCACCTGGGATACTTTGTAAAAAGGTCCTGGACCATTTCCAGGACAACTGATGGAAAATTTGAGGGATGGAGCCCAGAATTTTTACCATAGGAAATCAGTTTTGACGGTCTTCTGAGAATAAAGTGGTCACAGCGAAATACAGCATGAAAAATCAACTGTTTGTTCTGTCCTCTAAAAATCTGAGACCATGAAAAATTGCTAAGCCAAAAGTCCTAAAGGCAACAATACTGGTTTCTCAGCTGGTGCAAAATTCGCTGCCACTCACCTTTTGAGCAATAGACACCAATCCTCACATCCCACTGCAAAGAATCCAGAGGTGCATTTATTACTGGAGCCTTCCAGACTGCTTTGTTGATGGTGCTAAAAAAATGAGATTTGGTTTGGGTGGCAGATGGAGTGGCTCACGCCGGTAATCCCAGCTTCTCAGTCTGCTGAGGAAGGGAATCGCTTGAACCCGGGATGCTGAGGTTGCAGTGACCTGACATCGCGCCGTTACTCCAGCCTGGGCAAGGAGAGCGAAACTCATAGTCTCGAAAAAAGAGAGAGAGAGAGTGGGGACTAAATCAGTCTTTCTTTTCCTCCTTTCTCTTCTACACCACCCCGTGGGTCATCTGAAAGAGAACTGCTGAGAATTCACCCAGTCTTTTGAGACCGTGAGCTGATGAGAAGTGTGTTCTGTCTTTGCCTATGGTCTGTGTACTGTCCCAGAAGCAGTTTCCTAGAAGACAGCTATTAGGTCCTTCTTGGTAGAAGGGGAGGACAGTCATCTTTTGAAGCCCCTTCAGCTGGGGCTTGTCCTTTGTTTATGCTGTGGAGGTACTTAAAACACAAAAGGATTTGTTGAACCCCCTTCAGCAGGTCCCTGTGTGAAGAAAAAGGGATTTGTGGAAGAAACAGGAGTTATGCCCTTTGCCGTTGGTGAAGCATCTCCCTGAGAATAAGTAATGTTGGGCTCATGTGGTGGGCTCTTTGAAGGTGTCTAAGATGAAATGGGGATACTAGGGAATAAAGGAATGTTTTTTCAGTTGCTGCCCTCTCATTTCTGTGTAATCTGCATCTTGCTCTCTTACGATTGTGTTCAGGTCACCAAGTCTGGCCCTCGCCTTTGTAGGTTTAAAATTGGAACTACACTGGCCGGGTGTGGTGGCTCACACCTATAATGCCAGTGTTTTGGGAGACCGAGGCAGGAGGATCTTTTGAGGCCAGGAGTTTAGTCATGGTTGTGATAGGATAGTTAAAAGAAATGAATGATTTAGCTGCCATTTTGCATTTGCGAGAATGTAAAGCATGAGGGACTGAGAGCTGTGCTCTGTGTTATGGCTGAAAGCATAGGGTGTGTAGTTTTCTGTTTTGTTTTTTGAGACGGAGTCTCGCTCTGTCCGCAGGCTGGAGTGCAGTGACGTGATCTTGGCTCACTGCACCCTCTGTGTCCTGGGTTCAAGAGATTCTCCTGCATCAGCCTCTCGAGTGGCTTGGATTATAGGTGCATGCCACCACACCCTGCTAATTTTTGAATTTTTTAGTAGAGACAGGGTTTCACCATGTTGGCCAGAATGGTCTCAATCTCTTGACCTTGTGATCCGCCCGCGTTGGCCTCCCAAAGTGCTGGGATTATAGGCCTAAGCCACTGTGCCTGGCCAACGGTGTGTAGTTTCTAGGATGAAAGCCGTTCCTGTATGCAGTACAAAGGGAGAATGGATTGTGTGATTCCAGCGAAGCAGACTGCTTGGTTTCCACTCGTTCTGCATGATTTGAATGCATCTTCATCGTTCTAAGATTTAGTGGTAAGGGAGCTCTCAAGCACTGTATTCAGACATCTTATCCAGTTGAGGTATTTTGTCTCTGTATTGGTGTAGTCTAGGTTAGCCCAAAGGAAAAATGTTTGCACCACCTCTGAATAGATAGAGTCTCACTGTGTCGCCCAGGCTAACACTTTGGGAGGCGGAAGCAGGCAATCCCAGGTCTCTACTGCCCCAAGCTCCGGGACTCAAGCAGTCCTCCTGCCTCAGAGTGCTGGGATTACAGGTAGGACCTACTGCACTCGGGGGTTGTTTGTATTGTTGCCCCTTGTGTTGCTAAGCGATTTCCTCCTAAACACAGTTAAGTGTGGTGGCCCATGCCTATAATTCCAGCGTTTTCTGAGGCCAGGGCAGGAGGATTGTTGCAGGCCAGGAGTTGAAGACCAGCCTGGACAACACAGTGAGATCCCATCTCTACAAAAATTTCTATTTAACGAGCTGAGTTTGTTGGTGCATGCCTGTAGTCCCAGCTGCTCCGAGGCTGATGTGGATCACTGGAGCCGGAGTGGTCGAGGCTGCAGTGAGATCATACCACTGCATTTCAACTTGAGTGACAGAGCGAGACCACTGTCTCTTAAAAACACCCAGCAAACCGCCACCTCTGCCCAAAACACAATGACGGCCATAGGTCCCAAGTCTCCGAAATATATTTCATGTGTGTAAAATTGGATATGTAACTGTCTTAGTCCATACTGTTTTGCCATAACAAAATATCACAGATTTAGTACTTTATAAAGAAAAGAAATTTTTTTTCCCCTAGTTCTTCATGCTGGGAAATCCAGTTTCAGGGTGCCAGTATCTGGTGAGGGCCATTGTGTGACACCTTGTCATCCCACGATGGGAGGCAGGAGGACAAGAGGTGAGAGGAGGTGAGCCAGAAGGCACAACTCACGTATATAAGGAAACCCTTCTCTTGATAACTACCCCACTCCCAGGAGGACACTGACCCATTCATGAGGGCCCCACCTTCCTACACTGTTGCATTCACGATTCATTTTCCAGTACTTGAACTTTAGAGGACACAGTGAGACCAGCAGTACCTTTGATGGCCCTCACATTCATCGCCATCCAACACACACCACCCTTCTAATTCTAGGGTCATTTCTCCCAGGGCTGATAAAGCTCTTACCCCACCACAGCGCCCCATCACTGCCTCTCCCCTGACAGGGTGGGAGCATGATGCCAGTTCTTTATCTTAGGGCTGCTTTCCTGTGATGAACAGCACACAGCACGTGCTCTTTCGAGGCTAATGTTCTTCTTTTCAATAAGAATTCAGTTCTCATGGCTCACGCCTGTAATCCCAGTACGTTGGGAGGTGCAGGCCAGCAGATCACAAGGTCAGGAGTTCGAGACCCGCCCAACCAACATGAAACCCCGTCTCTACTACAAATACAAAAATTAGCCGGGCATGGTGGCACATGCCTGTAATCCCAGCTACTCAGGAGACTGAGGCAGGAGAATCGCTAAAACTCAGGAGGCAGAGGTTGCAGTGAGCCGAGATCGGGCTACTGCACTCCAGCCTGGGCAGCAGAACAAGACTTTTTCTCAAAAAGAATCCAGTTCTCTTTCTTTCATTATAAGCCCGGGATTGTTCCTAGTTGTCCTACCTTTCCAGATTTCTTCTTGATTGGATTTCAGGCGTGTCTGGAAATCTTCATCCACATGTTCGCCTCAGCATTTCTTTTTTGGCGGTGACCTGCACGTTGCTGGAGTACGGTGCCGAGTATGTCCAGATGCCACGGCTGCCTTTCTGATTGTGTGCCTTCTCACGGTCACAGGTCCCTAAGATTCTGAGTTGATTGAATTGGCTCAGTTACACGAACCTACCACATTAACAGACACGCACACTGAAATTATATATAAAGATTTCTGTGGGCAGGGCGCGGTGGCTCACGCCTGTAATCCCAACACTGGGAGACCAATGTGGGCGGATCATTTGGTGAAGTCAGGAGTTTGAGACCAGCCTGACCAACATGGTGAAAGCCTGTCTTTCCTAAAAATAAAAAAATAAAATAAACATAGCTGGTCATGGTGCTGCATGCATCTTTAGTCCGAGCTACTCAGGAGGCGGAGGCTGGAAAATCACTTGAACTTCAGAGGTAGAGGTTGTGGTGAACCTCCACTGCACTCCAGCCTGGGCAACAGAGCAAGACTCCGTCTCAAAAAAATAATTTTTCTCTGTATGCACATTTTCATTATATTTATGCAGGAGACAAGGACACAGTTAAGAGCAACTGGACTTAGCACGATGGAAAATTAAATCCCATGTGAAACCTCTAGGACCTTATCTCTGGTATCACTCCCCGTCCCCCCCACCTTTTCTCTCCCCTGTTTCTGTTTATCCTTTAAAGATACTATAATCTGGCCAGGCGCAGTGACTCACACCTGTAATCAGAGCACCTCGGGAGGCTAAGACCGGCGGATCATGAGGTCAGGAGTTCGAGACCAACATGACCAACATGGTGAAACACCATCTCTACTAAAAATACAAAAATTAGCTGGGTGTGGTGTCGTGTGCCTGTAATCCCAGCTACTCAGGAGGCTGAGGCAGGAGAATTGCTTGAACCCTGGAGGTGAAGGTTGCAATAAGTGGAGATTGTGCCACTGTACTCTCTGGCCTGGGTGACAGAATGAGACTCCATCTGAAAAACAACAACAGCAACAACATGCAACAGTACTGTAACCTTACCTTTTCTTGGATAGGATTAAAACTTACCTAAAACTTTCCCTGTCCATTTTTCTTCACCTACAGTTATTTGCAAAACCCTGTTGACTCCGCTTCTGAAACTGTTCTTTTGTCCTTTTTTCCATTTCCATTGTCATTTCCAGTGCTGGCCCCATCACCTCTTCCCAGACAGGATCCTCTCGCCTCCAGCCTCTCTCCTGTACGGTATGTTCTGCAGACCACATCCAAATTAACCTTCCAAGTTCGATTATTCTTTCTTTTCCTTGTTTGAAAGCCTTTGGTGTTTGAAAGACTCTCCAGTCTGTAACACACATTCCAACCACACACCATGGAACTGGGGAGCACTCACATCCTAACTGGGAAATTAGGTCTAAGTGATGACATCCAGATGACTCCATCTGGTATCTGAGGCTGCCTGTGGTCTGCTGCAAACCTGCTTTTTTAGATTTCTGCTCTGGCCATGCTTGTCCAGTATGCTGGTCACCTAGTATAATTGTACTCGTCACCTGGGAAATTGTGTTAAGTACTGGGGAGTGACCAAAGACTTGTGAACAAAGAAAAGAAAGAATAATCAAACTTGGAAGAATGAAACCTAGAAGATGTCACAAAGGGTCCAGCTTTTGCAGTGCTCAGGAATTGTTTATATGGGCTTTTTGTTGTGGTTGAGACAGTCTGGCTCTGTCGCCCAGGCTGTAGTGAAATGGGTACGATCTCAGCTCACTGCAGCCTCCCTGGTTCGAGCGATTCTCCTGCTTCAGACTCCCCAGTAGCTGGGATTACAGGTATCTGCCACCACACCTGACTCATTGTTGTATTGAGACGGGCTTCATCATGTTGGACAGGTGGGTCTTGAACTTCTGACCTCAGATGATCCACCTGCCTTGGCCTCCCAGAATGCTGGGATTACAGCTGTGAGTGACCACACCCTGCCATGTGGGCATTTTTTTTAAAACGAGAGAATACTCGTGGAACTTATTCTTAGCTTTTTTCCCCCCCCAAGACGAAATCTTGCTCTCTCACTCAGGCTGGAGTGTGTTGGTGCAATTTCGGCTCACTGCAACCTCCGCCTCCCAGGTTTAAACAATTCTCCTGCCTCAGCCTCCCGAATAGCTGAGATTACAGGCACTCGCCACCACACCCAGCTAATTTTTGTATTTTTTAGTATAGGCGAGGTTTCACCATGTTGGTCAGACTGGTCTCGAACTCCTGACCTCCTCACGATCTGCCTGTCTCGACCTCCCAAAGTGCTGGGATTACAGGCATGAGCCATCGCACCCAGCCTGTTTTTAGCCTTCTTAAACTTCTGGAGCCGGTTTTAGTAATTTACACATTTTCAGAAAACCCTATTCTAGATTTATGCATTTATTGGTGTAATTAGTATTTTCCAGTTAACCTAATATTTTAGAGTTGCAGTCACATTTGAGGGGAGGAGCTATTCCGTTTCCTTTCTGTGTTACCAGCATCCAGCCAGTGACACAGCTGTTTTGTGGACATGCGTGCAGCACAGCAGCAACACGGACCTGGCCAGCCTTTAGGGACTCATGGGATACATCTCTTGGCCAACTGAAAGTGTTATACGGCCAACTGAAAGTGTTCAGGTCCCTCACCATTATACCCACTCGAGCTGATTTATACTTTACAATCTAAATTGGCATGGGGCATGCCTTTGGGATTAAATTAATTTATACCAAGTTAGAAAGCATCAGCTGTCAAAGTCAGGGGAGCCTTCTGGAGGCCAGCGTGCTTTCTTTCTCTCTGTATTCTGAGCCCACACTCCAGGCATTCTCTCTTGGTTAGCAGCTGGGACAGTTCTTCAAGAGGCCTGCTTTGCATCCCCTTTGTGTCGGCGCGGTTCTGGGTCCTATACAGAAGCCAGACCTTTGACGGAGATACTATGTAGTAGTTGGTTACCGTGCCAATTAGGAAGATTTGCAACCCTCTGAAATAAAAACAGCAAACAACGATTTTTTTTTCTTTAAACATTTTCCCTCTTATGGGAATTGCAGCAGCGGAGAGCACATGGATGATCTTGATCCTTATTCAGAAGTTGAAGAAAAGAGTTTTTCTCTTGACTACCTCTTTAGCAAAAGATTAATGAGCATTTATACAGCGAACAGAAACACATCAAGCCAGGAAAGGTAGCTGTAACGCTATTTAAGGAAAGGTGTGTGACATGGGTTGTTAGGGTTACGAGGACGGAATGTCCTGCGTATGTCACTTGACCGCCTGGAGTCTGGAAATCGTCTTTGTGTTAAGCAGGCAGGACGTCCTGAAGTGCGGAAGGGTGACTGCTTTTCTCAGGAGGTAGGGAAAGGCCCTGTTTCTTCTGCTCGTTCCCATCGCTGTGCGAGGTTGGGAGCTGGCCCCTTCGCTCACCTCTGAGATCTTTTCGCAGCAGCCACTGCAGGGCTCGAAGGACTGGTTCCTTGAGGGTGAAGGTAGAAGGATGTTCAACAGACTTTTCCCTAATGAGCTCTGCTGCCGCTGCAAAGGCGGCAAATCCTGTTACTCCCTTCAGCTACTCTCTGAAGCGGCACTGGGGCCGTGGTGGCGGGTCTCCCTGCCCTATGCTGATTAGCTGCCTTTCTGCTGTTTTCTCCCCCCTTCCTCTTCTGTCCCAGAGCATCTTGGCAAAGTTCAGATTTCTGTGCTCACAGCTCAGTGCTCACAGAGAAAAGGAAATACAAAAGAAGAGGAGAGAAAGTGAGAGGAAAAAAGAGAGAAAAGGCTGGGGTGGAGATTTGTGGGAGATTCCCTTATTGCCTTAGTCTGAGACTTAAGCTCTGGGTTGGAACCTTAAGTAGTCAAGCTTTGTAAGCAGTAACCTGGATTTCCAAATCGTTCTTGCAGATAGTTTTCTCGGCACATGAACACAGCAGGCTATATATTAAAAGCAGATGAATTTCTGTTGTTCGGAAACCTCTGAAATTTGAAAAGGACACTTTGCTGTTTTCCACAAACTATGATTGTGTTGAAGGTGAAATCGCTGGAAGACAGATGTTTTCCGGGAGCGTTCACTGTGTACCATTGTTTCATCCAATCATTACAGCCCTCGGAAACAGGCACTGGCAATGCAGAAAAGCAAAATTTGATTGTAGTAACCACAGTTGAAAGTGGGCAGGTCAACAGTAGTAAGTCAGTTCACATTGTGGTCAAACAGGTATTTTTCATCTTGCGAATGCCAGTATCTGAAATAATCATACCCATTGAAATTAATGGGAAAACGCTTTAACTGATCAGCCAACATTTTAACTGTTCAGCCAATTCTTTTCAGCAGGATTGAAAATAGCTTTCCTGGCCGGGCCCAGTGGCTCACGCCTGTAATCCCAGCACTTTGGGAGGCCGAGGCGGGTGGATCACGAGGCCAAGAGATCGAGACCATCCTGGTCAACAAGGTGAAACCCCGTCTCTACTAAAAATACAAAAAATTAGCTGGGCATGGTGGCGCGTGCCTGTAGTCCCAGCTACTCGGGAGGCTGAGGCAGGAGAATTGCCTGAACCCAGGAGGCGGAGGTTGTGGTGAGCCGAGATCGCGCCATTGCACTCCAGCCTGGGTAACAAGAGTGAAACTCCGTCTCAAAAAAAAAAAAAAAAAGCTTTCCTGTTTCTTTCCTTTTTTCTGTTTGGATATAAAATTCTTCCTCTGCATTTCATCGCAGTTCAGGGAGACCAGGGCTTGTATTTACTGTGCCTGGGTTCATCGGTTTGGTACAAACTGCCCGGGTTTACAGTTACTAACGGGAAAGGGAAAAGGCTTTGCTCTCCAGGGCTTCACCACCCATCCTTCGTTCTCATCTTCACGGATGGTGTGTCTTAAGTTCTTCTGAGCTCCAGGTTTAAGTTCAGCAATGGCTTCGTCACCTTGCAGGTTGGCTTGGATTTGCAAATTTTTTGGTGGGTTTTCTGGGTGGCTCCTGACACATTAAACATAATGTCATGGAATTAGATTTAAAAAGCGACTTTACGGCCGGGTGCAGTGGCTTAAACCTGTAATCCCAGCACTCTGGGAGGCCGAGGCGGGTGGATCACGAGGTCAAGATATCAAGACCATCCTGGTCAACACGGTGAAACCCTATCTCTACTAAAAATACAAAAATTAGCTGGGCACGGTGGCACGTGCCTGTAGTCCCAGGTACTCAGGAGGCTGAGGCAGGAGAATTGCCTGAACCCAGGAGGTAGAGGTTGCGGTGAGCCAAGATCGCACCATTGCACTCCAGCCTGGGTAACAAGAGGGAAACTCCATCTCAAAAAAAAATAAATAAAAAAAGCAACTTTACATTGTGACCCTGTTTTTAATGACTTGATGAGTTAGTTACTGTATTCCAGGGATTATGTAATGGGTTATGGCAGGCAAGGGAGAAGAGTTGGAATATTTAACAAATGACACAGAGTTCTTCTTCCTCCGTTGGTGTGTCCTTTGAGAGACCATTTAAGCCTATTCAGTTCTCCTTGGAAGAGCTGGTTCCACAGCCCTTATATTCTGCTTTCTATGTGTTATAAGGAAAGGCACTCCTGACACTTGCTACGATGCAGAAAACTTGTTTTGCCTCTTTGAAGGATGGTATTTTCGCTAGAACCCAGGCAGCACTGGTGAAAATGGCAGCGATGAAGGGGGAAGCCGGAAGAGGATATTTGTGTGCCAAAGGCAGAGGTGGAGAAAAAGTCATTAGAGTTCCCAGAAACCTAATTGTAAAAGTGATATCCATGGAGCTGGCACGTAAACCACACGGCAGGCTTCATGCAGTCCCCTCCTTGTAGTGCCCTCCCCATTTTTAGCTTATGGTCTCAAATGTGGCCATTGTTATTTTTTTATTTCTGTGGGGATGGGGTCTCGCTCTGTTGCTTAAGATGGTCTCGAACTCCTGGCTCTAAGCGACCCTCCCACCTCAGCCGTCAGTTTGCCTTTATTATCATTCAATTTGGAACTTGCATCCTTAAGAAACATCTTAGGAGACATCTGTGAGTGCAGACTCTAGCACCTTTTATCATGATCCCATTGTGCTCTTAGTCTACGGTGGCACAGAAGGGAGCCCAACTGGACCGATAGAAATGTGTGGGCATGGACCGGGCATGGTGGTCACGCCTGTAATCCCAGCACTTTGAGACGCCGAGGCGGTCACATTATGAGGTCAGGAGATCGAGACTGTTGGCTTGCTTTTTGTTTGTTTATTTGTTTAATTTAATCCTGACCAACATGGTGAAACCCCGTCTCTACTAAAAATATGAAAATTGGCTGGGCATGGTGTTATGAGCCTGTAATCTCAGCTACCCAGAAGGCTGAGGTAGGAGAATTACTTGAATCTGGGAGGCAGAGGTTGCAGTGAGCCGGCATCTCGCCACTGTATCCCAGCCTGGTGACAGTGAGACTCCGTCTCAAAAAAAAAAAAAATGTGTGTGGGGTTGCGTGGATGCCACAGTGACAGGTAGCAGTGGTGGTAACAGCATGGCGGAGCTCAGCTGGGAGGACTTCGCAGGTAAAGTTTCTCGTAAAGAACTACAGTGTACTTTGGCACATGGAAAGGAATCCTACCTAGGGAGAATGACACATGTGAGGGCTTAGAGAGAAGACACAGCGTTTGGGGTGGTCATTCTAATTGTAGAAATCATCAGGCCTTTCTAGAGTGGAGAACATTGGTCAGCAGGGAGCAGCGTGGTCGTAGGAAGAACACTGGACTCGGTGGGCTGGGTTTCACTGGGCTCTGTCACTGCTCTGCTGACTGCCCTCGGAGAAGCCAGTTAACCTTTCCAGACCTGCTTCTTTATCTTGGTCCTCCTCCGATCCTTAAAAGAGACAGGGTCTTGCTGTGCTGCCCAGGCTAGTCCCAAACTCCTGGGCTCAGCGATGCTCCTGTTTCAGCCTCCCATGTATCTGGGACCATAGGCACGCACCACCACACCCGGCTGGTTTCTACAGGTTTAAATTGCGAGAACGGAAGTTGTGACCTGTAGTTTCATTTCCAGCTCTGGCATTCCTTGATTCTGACCTGCCTTTCAAATGAGATGACCTGAGACTTTGATTTGAGGATTTTACCTCTGTTAGAAGTCACTGGGAGGCTTGCCCTGTGCCCAGCTTAAAACACGAGCCATTCAAGTCTTCCCTCGCCTCAGCTGGCCTTTACTTCTGGCAGACCTCGAATTCCTGTTTCTCCTTTCTTTCTCCTTCTCTCATTTAGTAAGTCCTTCTGACCTGTCTTCCTATACGGTTGGCTCGGGCTAACATCTTTCCTCCCACCCTCTACCACTAGAGTTCTTATATATACGCAGCAGCTAGATCAGTCTCACTTTGCCTCTCTGTAGAAATAAACTGAGGTGGACCACCATTGTCTCCCGAGGAAAGGACAAACTCATTAGCTGCGTATTCAGGATCGCCTGTCAATCTCGGCTCACGTTACTCCCCTTCACATAAGCTACGGAATAGTTAAACTGAACCTAATATCCTCCTGCACCTGTTCATGCCCCGCCTCCCTCCCCATTGTCACTCGGTCACAATTTCCCATCTCACCAGCTCTCCCAGGCTCCCACAGCAAAAGTAACCCTTTTCTTCTCAGCTCCCATCGCATGTTTTCTGTACCTGCTAGTTCTGATTGGTCTGTGTTTTTTGTTTGTTTGAGACGGTGTCTCACTGTCGCCCAGGCTGGAGTACAGTGGCGCGATATTGTTTCACTGCAGTCTCCACCTCCCAGGTTTAAGCGATTCTTGTGTCTCAGCCTCGGTAGCTGGGATCACAGGTGTGCACCACCACACCTGCTAATTTTTGTATTTTTAGTAGAGACAGGGTTTCACCGTGTTGGCCAGGCTGGTCTTGATCTCTTCACTTAAGTGAGCCACCATGCCTGGCCAGAGCCATGGTGTTTCTCTACTGGAAGCAGGCCACCCTGTGTAGTGTCTGCTACCATACAGTTGCTGTTAAGATCAGAAGTTGCATCTTACACACATCTCGTCCTTTCAGAACCTTTAATAAGATTGTCAAAAGTTTGGTTTTACTGGGGATTATGGATCTGGCTATGAGCAAGTCAAACCGTAGGGAGCAGACTCTTGGGAAATGGTTTGCATTGCAGAAGATTGCATCCTGGTTGAAAGCCTGTGCGCAAACGTTTCTGGTATGAGACCTGATGACCTAGAACAGATGTTGTCAGCTCAGAAAATGCCTGCTTATTTGGGTTATTGCGAAGGGAAATAGGATCTCCTGAAGTTCCCACTGCCACTCTTTGTCCAGTGGCCCTTTCCCAACAATTCTTTGTGAGAATCCCATGTCATGATAAGCTGAACCCCAAGCAAAGCAAAGACCACCTACACAGGTGTTACCTCATTCTCTTTAGATGATGTAAGGTTAGCCTCGGTTCTCACAGTCTCCTGTCATCAGCCATGTAGGTGTGGTGTCCCAAAATAAAAATTGTCACTATTGCTTACTAAGCAATGCCATTCAAAATGCCGTGGTTCTTGAAAGCTGTTGCAGATGGTTTGTCTCTGAGAAGGTTTAAGTAAAAGACAAATACTTTGGCCGGGCGTGGTGGCTCATGCCTGTAATCCCCAGCACTGTGGAAGGCCGAGGCGGGCGGATCACGAAGTCAAGAAATCGAGACCATCCTGGTCAACATGGTGAAACCCCGTCTCTACTAAAAATACAAAAAATTAGCTGGGCATGGTGGCGCGTGCCTGTAATCCCAGCTACTCAGGAGGCTGAGGCAGGAGAATTGCCTGAACCCAGGAGGCGGAGGTTGCGGTGAGCCGAGATCTCGCCATTGCACTTCAGTCTGGGTAACGAGCGAAACTCCATCTCAAAAAAAAAAAAAAAGAGAGAAATACTTTGTAAACAATTACATGAGTGCTTTTCCTCTTTTGCTATTAAAATAGAAAGCAGTACAGTACGTTTATATTTATACTTGATTATATATAAACAAAGAGTTGAGCTCTTTATGCAGCGGCCATTGATTTATCAAAACGTTATACATGCTTCTTGTCACGTACAGGTAAGAGGAATGGGCTGGGGAGGGAGTCGTGGGAGAAAGAAACCCCCAGGAAAAAGAAAATGCGGCTCCAGTTGCTCTACTCACAGTAACCAGAAGCGAGGGCACAGCTGATCTCTGGCAAGTCCACCTGCTCCTGGGACCGTTCAGTTATTGGGGCTTGTGCTGGCAGCAGGGAGCGGGTGTGTTTTACGAAACCTCTGATTTCTCAACTTCCCTCTCTGCCTCCCTCAGGAGTTAGAAGCTGCTCTTCACAGAGATGACGTGGAGTTTATCAGTGACCTGATTGCCTGCCTGCTTCAGGGCTGCTATCAACGAAGAGATATCACGTGAGTAGTTCTGGTCTTTCTAAGTATCTCTTGCGGGGAGAACTAATTAACCAGCCTTAGTGATGTTTCCTGTCTGCTGCGACAAGCCAGAATGAACCGTTAGCCATCACGGGACGGTGTAGTTGGTGGACACGCACGTGAATTTCGTGTTTGGCTCGTCCCACAGTTGAGTTTTTATTCCATCACAGCCTTTGAGTTTATTTCACTCTCACAAATCTGTGTCACGTACTCTTGGATATGCCAGCTGACATATTTGAGTGTAGAATTTCTTCTTGTATTTGCCTCTTTCTGATTTTGTTTGCAGTGTGGTAAAATATTGCCTAGGAAAGGAAAACTAGTTTGTATTACGTTTCTGCCATTTCGGTATCTTCTGTCGCTTACATAGCCAGCAGCAGCCGTGTAATTAACAGAAGCACCCTTGCGGTGTAACTGCAAGATAAACAGCTCTCCAGTGCCTTTGAGAACGTAGAAACCTTCAGCAAATGTGGTGTGTGGCAACAGAGTCCTGATGGGACCTCTTGTTTGGATCTTTACTTGATACACATTCCTTGGCTGCGTGTCTAGAGAGAGCAGAACTGCAGGGCAAACTCACAAAAAGCTGAGATGCGGTGGGTTTCCCAGTCTCCTGCCCTCTGATGTCATGTGGGGGTTTGAGTTGTTACGGTTGATATTTCTTAGATAGGTAAAGATGATGGTATGAAGTATTTTTGTTGTAATGAATTCGGTCTGTTAGGGCTGGACATGAGGCTTGCTGTTAATGTGCAGTAAAGTTGTATACAAGGTGAGAGAATGTAAATGGTGTTTTGATCAGGGTGGACGTCTGCGTTCTCTAGGGGAGAGTTATTTCTCCTGCACTCCGTATAATGCCTTTCCCCCTAGAATACCGAGGTTGTATTTAGAAATACAAATAAACTTAAAAGTATACCTTAGCATATTTCCTTCCATTCTCTATGTAAGATGCATACTTGGGGTTTGTATTTTTTAAGCACTGTTGTATTCATACCTTGTGTATAATTCCACATTTTCATAATCTGGATTTTTTTTTTCATTATAGCAATCAGTTGTCTCATAACCAGATTTTCTCTAAATATCATTGTCAAATAATCCAGTCTGGTAGCTGACAGTTACATCTAGCTTTTAGCTGTTATAAACACATTATAAAGCATAGCTTTGTACAAAATTCACCAGGTTCCTGGAAGTGCATCACTCAGTCAAAAGATACGCCCATTTCAGATCTTGGTTTTAATCAAGTTGCCAGGCTTCCGATCGCAGAGGTGGTTGTATTTTAGCCTTAAATGATCAGGGCATGAGTGTGTCTGCCTGCATGTCCTTTTGAGCCCTTGGTTCGCAGAATGGTAGGTCCTGGCAGCACAGGAACTCACTAGGTCTCTTGGAGCTCACAGTTCTGACAGGGAGGTCCACCCATCCTTACAGTAATGATTATATAGTTGCCACTTACACAGCTACAGCAGTAAGTGCTTAGAAATAAAAATATAACATATTAACAGCGTATAACCTGGGGTAAGGAAGTGACTTGTGAACTAGGCCTTCATATGTGGGCTGTTTTCTCTCATAGGATGTTCCTCAGTGGCAGGGTTTATCCCTCTGATTTGTCCTTCTGTTTAAAAAGACAGAGTAATGTCCTTCAGAGTAATGGTTACAGAATTATGTCATGTTCTTTAAGAAATCCCCTTATTATCTTATCATTCTAACTAGAATGAAATAAACCTATGAAGAAATTTGGGCAAAACTGATATCTCTACAAAATGATCTCTTTTTTTGTGGGGTGGTGGGGGGACAGGGTCTTGCTCCTCACCCACGCTGGAATGCAGTGGCAGGAGCCTACCTCACTGTAGCCTCAGCCTCCTGGGCTCTAGCAGTCCTCCCACCTCAGCCTCCTGAGTAGCTGGCACACAGGACTGTGCCACCATGCCCACTGATTTTTGACAATTTTTTTGTAGAGACAAGGTCTGTGTTCCCCTCGCTAGTCTTGAACTCTTGGCCTCAAGCAGTCCTGCTGCCTTGGCCTCTCGAAGTGCTGGGATTACAGGGAGCCTTGCCCCTACAAGTATTTTTGAAATAATGCGATACCGCATCCCTTTATCTGTCTTGAATTTACAGTTTATTGGCCTTACTTTTTCCTTAAGTTAGTATTCTTTTGATTTTCTAGGTTTATTATCTGTCTCTTTTCAATGTAAATACTCATGTCTACTTCAGGGTGTGTTACTTATCCACTGTTAAGTAATAAATTACCCTAAAACTTAGCAACTTAAAACCACAGAAATCTGTGATCTTACAATTGCTGTGGGTCAGGAACCTGGGCCAACCACGACCGAGTGTGTTTGGCTCGAGATGGCTTTACAGGACTGTGGTTAAGGTGCCAGGTGACAGCAGTCATCTTGAAACTTACTATTCTTGTATAATACACACACGCAGAGAAGTACACACTTCCCAATTCTACAGCTCAATGAATGTTCACAAACTGAACACACCTGTCTAACGTAGAACCTGGAGAAGAAAGAACACTACAATGTACCTTAGTTTTTCACCGAAGGGAATGCCTGAAGTGATGGTTATGTGGTCCAGCCGTCACTGTGAATGCGCACTCGTTCCTATCTGAAGTTCTGCTTTGATCTCATTCTAAAGAAAATTTGGATAAGTGAATGTTTACCTGCTTTCCCTCCAAGACTCAACTGTTATATACAGCTTAAAAAGTTACTTAATTTCTTTGTGCCTAACTTGCCTCATCTATAACTTGGAATGAATGATAGTATTATGAGGACTAGATGTTAAATGTCAGCTTACCATGAGGGTTAAATGAAATGATTAGTGAGAAGCTTTAGAACAACCTTGACAGTATATACGGTAATCGTCGGGTATAGAAACACTATCCTTGCTTTTTCGTAGCTTAGAAAGCAAATCTTGACTTGAGCAACTTTCCTTGTCCTTTTCCATGGTGGTTTGCATGTTTTAGAACAGGGGCCAGCAACTGTTTTTTGTAAGGGCCAGATGGCGCAGGCAGCATCCGGTAGTATCATTCTGCAGACTGCATTACAACAGTGGTCACATGAGATCAGATCGTGATGGAATTGGAAATGTCTCTCCCCTGGAGACATTGTTGCAATTGTAATATGGCAGCACGTGGGTGCCTTGCTCACGTGGCTGTGGTGATGCTGCTATAAACAAAGCGAGTGCACTGCCAGTCATGTGAGCCCTGCACATGCAGCCATGTCCGCTGCATAATCCTCCCTAGGAAACAACTCTTACTGGTTTCCGTATTTACTCTGCTGTACTCTGAATCATTATTTTAGAGTGCATTTCTTCTAGTTCTATTTAGTTCCTTTAATACAGGCTCTCCCTCTGGCACCCAGGCTTGAGTACAGTGGCACAGTCTTGGCCTCCTCTAACCTCCACCTCCGGGGTTCAAACGATCCTCCCACTTCAGCCTTCCCAGTAGCTGAAACTACAGGCGCACACCACCAGGCCCGGCTCATTTTTTTTATTTTTTGGTAGAGATGGGGTTTCACCATTTGGCCCGGCTGGTTTTGAACTCCTGACCTCAAGTGAGCTGCCTGCCTCAGCCTCCCAGAGTGCTGGAGTTACAGGTGTGAGCCACCAAGTCCGGCCTAGTTACTTTCTAAACGTTAACTATATACAACAGCCTCAGGCAGGTCCCTCAGTAAAGATTCCAGAAGGTATTGTTACCATAGGAGATGACAGTACCATGCATGTTACTGCCCTGACTTCAGTGGGACAAGATGTCAAGGTAGAGGACAGCGATATTTATGATCCTGACCCTGTGTAGGCCTGAGCTGATGTGTGTGTTTTTGTCTTCATTTTTAACAAAAGTTCAAGTGCAAAAAATAAAAAATTTCAACAATAGAAAAACCTTATAAGGATTTTTATAAAGAAGACTGCCACACGGTGTCTCATGCCTGTAACCCCCGCACTCTGGGAGGGTGAGGCGAGAGGATGGCTTGAGGCCAGGACTTCGAGAGCAGCCTGGGCCATGTTGCAAGACTCTATTTCCACTAAAAAAAATAATTAGCTGGACATGGTGGCGCACGCCTGTAGTCTTAAGCTAGGCAGGTTGAGGTGGGAGGATTGCTTGAGCTTAGGAGTTAAAGGCTGCAGTGAGCTACACTCACCACTGCCTTCTGGGGCTACAGAGCAGGAAAAAGGGAAATAAAATATTTTCATACAACTCTAAAAAGTATTTGAAGCTGTTACTACAAGATTATCAAAAAGTTAAATTAAAAGTTTATAGGCCGGGCGCGGTGGCTCACGCCTGTAATCCCAGCACTTTGGGAGGCCGAGGCGGGTGGATCACAAGGTCAAGAGATCAAGACCATCCTGGTCAACAAGGTGAAACCCCGACTCTACTAAAAATACAAAAATTAGCTGGGCATGGTGGCTCACACCTGTAATCCCAGCACTTTGGGAGGCCAAGGCGGGTGGATCACAAGGTCAAGAGATCGAGACCATCCTGGTCAACAAGGTGAAACCCCGACTCTACTAAAAATACAAAAATTAGCTGGGCATGGTGGCGCGCGCCTGTAATTTCAGCTATTCGGGAGGCTGAGGCAGGAAGAATTGCTTGAAACCCAGAAAGCGGAGGTTGCGGTGAGCCGAGATCGCGCCGTTGCACTCCAGCCTGGGTAACGAGCGAAACTCCATCTCAAAAAAAAAAAACAAAAAGTTTATAAATTGTTAAACGTCAGGGTAAGCAAAATTTATTGAGGAAAGAGTTTTTTAAAAAATAAACATAGTGTAGCCTGCGTCTGCAGCCTTTAGAAAGTTTACGGTGCTATGCAGTCATGTGCTAGGACTTCACATTCGTTTACTGCTCAGGTACTGATTCATTCAGAGCAACTTTAGTCCCGCAAGCTCCATTCGTGACAAGCTGTTTATACAGACAGGCTGTTTTAAAAACCGTAACCGTGCATTTCTCAGAGCGTGTCTTTTTTTATTAAGCAATGCATGATGATTTTAGGATCCTC